CGGTCAGAACCGTTTTTCGTATACAATGATATAATATCATTGAATTCAAATTTATAACAGAAAGGGTAGCGGTCTAATAGTTACACATAACTATATAATTACTCATATTAAAAATATTTGATGTACAAATTGAAATTTTTTAATTGCTTTAACTATCAGTAAGGCTGTTGAATAATATTCAAAAACTAAAATTATTGGTCAATTTTCAAACATATAATAATAAAGTCTAGATGCGAAAGGGTAATGTCTTTTAAAACTAACTATTTCAACTATGGCACTGTGTATATTTTATTGAGGTGATATAAAGTAAGGCTAAATTTAAAAATAAATGATACTTTACTCACCATACTGTTTTTAAAGACGAATATTTTAAGATAATTATTATTAGTGCAATTTGTATTCTATTTTATAGGTATGTCGATGATTTGGCAACAATTTATCACCCTGAACGGAAATCAATGTTAAACTTAATAAAAGGATTTTCTCTTACTATTGAGTGCTTAGGTGGGGATGTCCCATTTTTCTACTTATCTGGTAAGTGTATAGAYTTTTCTACAGCTTTGTATATAACTATAATCCATATTACCACAAATTATAGGGACGTGCTCTATTGAAAACTACATAACTTTTAATAGGTTCATGAAATTCCCTTACAAACGACATAATTATATTCATACTATAAATCAGAAAATTAAAAAATAGAATTTCTAYTTAGTTTTTTGTCACATTTTTCAAGTTATGGAAATTTTGTTTATGTGTTAGATGGTTAGCATATAAATCAATATTTATAGAATTCAAAAATTTTGGGTAATCGGGTAGTACATTTTTATTTAATGCTAAATAAATAATATAAATTTCTAATTGCTTAAGGTTGTTAAAATATTTGATGGACCCTTGTGTATATATGTATATATCACCAGAGTATGACAGTATTTTATTATTAGGTGTCGACAAGGTACCTTATACTATGATATAGATAAAAAAAAAAACAAATATTTCACTTGTTTAGCGGATGGTTTACATATGATTTCACTAAGAATTACACATTTTTCAAACATTCCGAGGTTTTTTAATATTTAACGTTGAGGTAATGTTTTTAAAGTGTCCGTTTCGAGCTATGACATTTAAAGAGAAAGGCGCCAATTATATAGACCTATGCTATTTCGACCAATAATAATTAATTATTATGTGGAGTACGTTCATCAGTTTAATATTATAATGAAAAATGAATAAATATTATAAATTTTTTTTGTAAATATAGTGGCAATATTTCAGTAGTTGAACTTCTTTAAATCAAAAGTTATTTCTTAAAGAAAATTATATGTTTTAATCAATATTTAGCATATATACCAATCACTCGGMGAAATATAAATACCAACTTTTCATTAGACCAATGATTTACAATATCATTTAATTAAATCAAAATTGCAATAATTGTATTTATATTTTACTAGAATTATAGAAATGRTTGAATAGAATTAATGATATGATGTTGTTGAATTTAAAAAAAATGATTCCTTGATTAGAAGATAAATTGTTTTAAATAATAAAAGTTGTATCATTAATGTAATCCTAGTGCTTTCCTTGTTTTCAAAATATTTACTTTGAACCAAAGAACTATTATTCTTTATAGGTATCTAATTAATTCCTCATACATTTTATRAATAATTTCCTTTAAATCAGTTCACAAATATTGTCATAATTTAAAGGCGTTTTATTTACACCTTTGTTAAAATTAATGAAACATTGTTAAAATGATTGACATATATTTTTTTTTGATAGAATAATGCAGATGTTTTCATTGATTATGAAAATAATATTTAAATCTATAATTAATAAATACAGCTTAATATAATAAACTAAAGAAATTAAATGATTATTAAATAATAAATAAGATAGTACAACTGAACAATACAAATAATACAAACTGCGTCACATAATAAAAAACAAGTTTTTGAAAAGAGTTATTATAAGTATTGGTATACCTAACATATATAAAACTAATAAAAAATAATCTTATATATATGATATTATATTAAGCTGTATTTATTAATTATAGATTTAAATGATTATTAAATAATAAATAAGATAGTACAACTGAACAATACAAATAATACAAACTGCGTCACATAATAAAAAACAAGTTTTTGAAAAGAGTTATTATAAGTATTGGTATACCTAACATATATAAAACTAATAAAAAATAATCTTATATATATGATATTATATTAAGCTGTATTTATTAATTATAGATTTAAATGATTATTAAATAATAAATAAGATAGTACAACTGAACAATACAAATAATACAAACTGCGTCACATAATAAAAAACAAGTTTTTGAAAAGAGTTATTATAAGTATTGGTATACCTAACATATATAAAACTAATAAAAAATAATCTTATATATATGATATTATATTAAGCTGTATTTATTAATTATAGATTTAAATGATTATTAAATAATAAATAAGATAGTACAACTGAACAATACAAATAATACAAACTGCGTCACATAATAAAAAACAAGTTTTTGAAAAGAGTTATTATAAGTATTGGTATACCTAACATATATAAAACTAATAAAAAATAATCTTATATATATGATATTATATTAAGCTGTATTTATTAATTATAGATTTAAATGATTATTAAATAATAAATAAGATAGTACAACTGAACAATACAAATAATACAAACTGCGTCACATAATAAAAAACAAGTTTTTGAAAAGAGTTATTATAAGTATTGGTATACCTAACATATATAAAACTAATAAAAAATAATCTTATATATATGATATTATATTAAGCTGTATTTATTAATTATAGATTTAAATGATTATTAAATAATAAATAAGATAGTACAACTGAACAATACAAATAATACAAACTGCGTCACATAATAAAAAACAAGTTTTTGAAAAGAGTTATTATAAGTATTGGTATACCTAACATATATAAAACTAATAAAAAATAATCTTATATATATGATATTATATAATTTTTACTTTTACAGGTATATTATTTTCACTTACGATATATTATATAAAATTGTAGACAAAAAAATTACATACAGTTTATTAATATCAAATATACAATTTCATTATAGATAATAATGGTATTAATTTGGGGTGATATACGATTGCGAATGAAACAATATTGCGAACGGACCTTTTCCCGTATCACGATTGCGAACGTTTTTACCTGCCTTTTTCCGTACAGCGTTGCCAGATTCATTATTAGTAAATTATATTTATATTAGAAAATAGAAAATTTAAAAATTACACTTTAATTTTA